ATGATTTCTGAAGGATCACGTGACACTGAAGACTGGAGTAATGATGCTGAAAATTTAGCTTTGCATCACAGGAATGTAACATTTTAAAATATATTATTATTATTTTTTTTTTTTTATCTTAATATTACTGTTTTTGTATTTTTGGTCAAATGCAGCTTTGAGGAACATAGGAGACTACAAAAACATAAAAATAAAAAAAAACCTTACCAACACCAAACTTTGGAATTGTAGTTTTTAGCTTCGCAATGCAGTCTACTGAAACTACTATTAAAATAACGAGAAGTAGTATACTAAAATGTTTCCGATTGTTTCTCTCCACAGGTTACTTTCACAGGAACCAAAGCTCCCAGCTATTCCTTTGGAATTCGTCACTCTGATTACATCGCTCCCATAATTGTGGATGGGGCTGATTAAACGGGTCAATGCTGTCCTAGTGAATTCTGTTAAACAAGCTACAGTCTCCCATATCAGGTCTTAATATTGCTAAAACATAACTTGAATTAATAGTGTTTCAGTAAAAAAGGCTCCAAGATGCATATTTGTGCTGTTGCCACAATATGAGAAATAAACTCCATTCCAAAACCAAGTTAACCAAGTCTACCTAGACTAGCATTTTAACAGACACAATCTACTAGTGCTGGGTCTGACTCCACCTTATTGAGTCAGAGTTTATTCCAAATCCTTAACCAAGTTCGAGTCCATGTTCGGTCATAATTGCAGTTGGAGTCCAAATACCCCAACTCTACAATCCATACACGGAGGTTATTCCCAAAAAATAAAATAGAATTGACAGCCAAAACAAGTAATTAAAAACTAGTTATACAATATATATAAATTCTCTTACGTTTACCAAGGCTGCATCTATTTGATCAAAAATACGGTAAAAACAGTAATGTTGTGAAAATATTATTACAATAACTGTTCGGTTTTAATATATTTTAAAATGTGATTTATTTCTGTGATGGCAAAGCTGAATTTTTGCATGTCTGCTCATTACGTTTTGGAATAGCATAGAGTTGACAAACAGCACTGTTGATTACTGTGTAAATCAAGAAAGAAAGTAAATCTTTGAATCAAAATACTTTATTGTTGTCATTTTGTTATTGTTACTTTGCACTTCAGTCATACAACAGCATCTGAAAATTTAAGCTTGGCTCAAACCAAAGCAGACAATTCAGGAACAATATTTACATTGATAGTTCAGTAGTTCATTATTACGTTCTATTTTTACTTTTTTTTTTTTTATATAAAACAGTGTTTTTCTGGTTCATGCCATAATACATTTAGTGAGTCTTTCTTAATAAAATACACTTTCTCTGGGAAAAACTTATGCAATCTTACTTCAAACAATATAGTTTGTCAGGTAAATATTTTAAGCATTCTTCACTCAAACACAACAATGATTCTGGTTTATTTATTTTTTGTAGAGTAGGTGGATTGAACATTTGTAGTCAAGCAGTACCTTTTTA